CGAATCTGGAAACTGTATTGCTGTCCACTTAGCTCTGACAACCTCGGGAGCCTTTGGCGCCTTTTGAGTTACTCCCATCCTGCAGATAAGAATTATCTGCAATAGCATTAGGAGAAGAAAGTAGAAAGCTAATTATCCCAGGACAGCTCGTTTTCGCTAGTGGGTGCGAAGGGGTCAAGAGTTACAAGAAGCTGAAACTTAAGTTTTACAAAGATCTGATATCTAACTCATTTGATGCATACAGAACAAAAGGAAAGCACCGATTGGGGTTTGGGCCATAGTATTTCCCGGTAATTTCTTTGAAGCTAAACAGTTCTTAAAATTGGGGCAGGCTCATTTTATGACAGATCATCACTGGGTCGGGAAGAGGTCACCAGAAACCCAAATTCTTTATGGCCTAGATAGATAGGTGAGGGGAGAGGGAGGCAATAAGTCGCCATACAGAACAGAAAACGGCAGTTATGTTTTTTTTCTTTCTGGGAAGGGAATCAAGGTCAGGTAAAGGGTTAAACTCATACGCAAATCTCTCTGCACACAAGCAAGTTACTTCAAACAAGTGTAAATTAGGGCCATCCTAGTTTTCTTTAGCTCTTTAGCAGAGAATAGAGGCACCTAACAGTGATTAACAACCCTAGTTAGCTTGTTTTAGCACAACTTCTGTAGTTTGTAGCGGGCAGCAATGGTTAACATATCAATTAGGTGAGATTCTTGCAATTCTTTACAGAGGAGAGTATTGCTCAACATATCAATTAAGTCACTTAACATATCAGTTAGGGAGAAAGGATTAAAAAAAACACATTTAGTAAGTCACGTTGCAGGTTTGCTATAATACACATATAACGAAGCTATTTTCTTAGAGTCCAACACCGGGAAGTGCGGTCCCAGTGGGGCCAGCTCAGGGTAGGGTGGCCACATAGACTGTGAGGTTGTAGCCCGGAGCAGGAGGTGCAAGCTCTGCCTGAGACTTGGGCATCTGAGGGGTGGTGTTGGGCCGGGGCCAGAGAGTTCGCTACAGACTTGTACTCTAGAAAAAATAACTTTGTTATATTTGTATCATACCAAAATACCTGTACTGTGGCCTTACTGTACCTGTGTTTCCCTTTCCCCTTCTCCCTCTGGGTGACCTAATTGATATGTTAACCAATGCTCTCCTCTATAAAGAATTAACTTCCCGGTCCTCTCCTAAGGAAAACAAAGGTTGTTAATTGCTGCTAGACCGCTCTATTCTCTGCTGAGAAAAGCAGGATCTTCCCCATTAGCCTATCTCCTGATCCACGCCCATGACCTTTACTTTGGGAGCTGTGATAGGTACTAGGGAGGAGCAGCAAGGATAGAGGAGAGATACAGCTTTTGGGGTCTCCAGCGGCACTGTGTCTCTGGGCCCAGGGTAAAATATATCAGCGCTGCTTTTTAAAATATGTTTTTGCCTTATTTTTTAACCTCGAGCTTGGGGCCTCATTTGTGGATTACTGATAGAACTGTGGGGGACCGGCGGCTGAAAAGATAAGTATGAAATTGAAAGGTTTGGCCCAGACAGGACACTGTAGCCAGGAAAGCCACAACCGGAAGCAGGAAGCCCCATCTTGCCCTGCCCCTAGGAAGTTACCTGTGACGCCATCTTCCCGCCCCTGGGAATTTACATATGGCGCCAAACCTAGGACCAATGGGCTACCTGTGTATCCCTAATGCCCGCCTTAGGTTCCACCCCAAACCGAGGCTATTTACAGGCCCCCACGCCGCGTGTCCGCCGGAGAGATCGCCGGACGCCAGCGGTGGGGGTTGCCGGTCATCTCTCTCCGTGTTCTCAGAATAAAGGCCGCTTTTTATTTTACATTTCTCATCTTTTGTTAATATTTTTCATCTTTTGGAAATATCTCTATCAGAAATATAAATGACCTTTATTTTGAGAATGCAGGGAGAGACACCCCTGATCCCCTGGGGCACAGCATGTCCACCGGGGTCGGCAATCTCTCCATGGAACACGCAGAATGAGGCACATAAGTAGCCTGGGTTTGGGGTGGAACCTAAGGGGGCATTAAGGATGCACAGGTAGCCCATTGGTCTTTGTTTGGTGCCAGAGGTTAATTCTTAAGGGTGGGGAGATAGGAGCTCTTTGGCTTTACCGGCTACAGTATCCTGTCTGGGCCAAAACCCTTTCAAAGACAGACTAGGTGTGGGCAGTGCTCAGTTCCGGCCTGGCCACGGGGCACCGAGGAGGCCCTCACTGAACTGGAGCCCAGGCCTGGAGACAGCACAGAGCCCCGAGGTGGGGCGGCCAGGCTGGCAGGGTGGAGGCGCCACAACTCTGTATTCAGTGGAGTGGCCAAGAGGGTGCCAACCCAGTGAGCCCTGCCCGGGGCGCTGGCCAGGCCCCCATCCCTGCCAGCGGTCCGGTCCCCTGCTGTGGTTGTCCAGGAGCAGGGACAGGTCTGATCTGGTGTGAACCCGATGTACAGGCGCATGCAGGATAGGGCGGGAGGAGGGGCAGGAAGTTTCCAGTGCCAGCCTGGCCCCAGTTCGGGTGTCTCCTGTGTGTGTGTGCAAATGACCCAACCGGGGACTGAGGCACACGTGTGTGTGCTGTCCTTGTGAGCTGCACTGCCAGCCCTGAATGTGTATCTTTAATGTAGAACAAACCTCCATGGCTTTATTAAATTAAATATTTATTTATGTATTTACTCCGGTGGAACCGAATCCAGGGTCTTTGCACTGAACTACTCATTCATTCATTTTTGATATAGTGTCTTGCTAAGTTGCCCAGGGAGAGCTTGAATTGACCACCCTCCCACCTCAGCCTCCCAGCGGGTGTGTACCACCACACCCAGGTGCCCGTGCCTTTCAGCAAGCCTGAGGCATATCCAGATCTGTGCCTCGATGGACTGCCCTGGTCGTGCTCCTGCCCCAGCCCCAGCCCCCTCAGGCCCGAGAATGAACCCTCTCACCCACTGACACAACCCAACCTGGGTTGACCCTGCCACAGGTACTCACCCTGGCCTCCCGGTGAGACCAGCAGCAGCTGAGACCCAGAAGGGGGTGGCTGTGAGTCAGTCTGTGCCCTGAGCCACATCCAGTTGCCTGAGCTCCTGGGCCGAGGGCTGGGACAGGCAGTGGTGACCTCAAGGCTTCAAGTAGCTGACTGAGGAGGGTGCACAGGCAGATTGAGGTGTCAGAGATGTGAGGACAAAGGGGAGTCAGTCTTCTGCCTGCCTGCTTCTCGCTCTGTTGGATTCGTGTGCACACACAGCACACAGCACACTCAGCACACACAACACTCAGTGATAGAATTTTCAGTGCAAAAGGAAACCATCTGATAGGATTTTGGCACGGCTGAAAAGATAAGAAATATGAAATAAAAGACACCTTTATTTTAAGAATGTGGGGAGAAACCCCATGACCCTCTGCGGTCTGGCATTCTCTCCACCAGACATGTGGAGTGGGGGCATACATGTAGCTTAGGTTTGGGGTGGTGCCTAAGGGGCATTAGTGATACACAGGTAGCCTATTGGTATTCATTTCACACCACAGGTAAATTCCTAGGGGAGGGAAGATGACCTAAAGATAGAGCCCCTTGGTTCCGCCTGCCTCCAAGGCTTTACCAGCTACAGTGTCCCATCTGGGGCAAAAACCTTTCACTCAGCACACACAGTACACTCAGCACACTCAGCACACACAGCACACTCAGCACACACAGTACACAGCACACTCAGCACACTCAGCACACACAGCACACTCAGGACACAGCACACTCAGCACACACAGGACACAGCACACTCAGCACACAGAAAACACAGCACACTCAGGACACAGCACACACAGCACACTCAGCACACACAGCACACTCAGGACACAGCACACACAGCACACTCAGCACACTCAGGACACAGCACACACAGCACACTCAGCACACACAGCACACTCAGGACACAGCACACACAGCACACTCAGCACACACAGAAAACACAGCACATAGCACACTCAGGACACAGCACACACGTCACACACTCCGCACATAGCACACACAGTACACAGCACACAGCACACTCAGCACACACAGCACACTCAGCACACACAGCACACACAGAAAACACAGCACACAGCACACTCAGGACACAGCACACACGTCACACACTCCGCACATAGCACACACAGTACACAGCACACAGCACACTCAGCACACACAGCACACTCAGCACACACAGCACACTCAGGACACAGCACACTCAGCACACAGCACACACAGCACACTCGGCACACACAGCACACTCAACACTCACAGCACACACAGTACACACACACACACACACACACTGCACCCTGGAGAGGAAACTGTTTCAGTTTAAAATGTATCTTTTCTTAAGGATCCTGGTCTAAAATGTTGAGGAACTTTCTCTCACATGATTTTTTTTTTTTTTTCCTGCTCCTTTGCGAATATCTAAAAAGACGTCACTGCTCCGGAGCAGAAACCGCAAGTTCTAAGTTCTGGGCGTAGGGAGAGACTACGGGAGGGTGGCGAGAGTTTCCTGCAGTCCTGGACGGGAGGCCCCGGCCCGCCCTGGTCCCTGCCCAATGGGAACTGCGCTGTTTCCACAGTTTTACCGCAACAGCGTCGTGTGTCCTTCCCAAAACTGCGCGGCCTCGGGGCCTGAAAGACAGGACAGGACAGCAGATGCAGGCCCAGCACCCACACGTGGGAGTCCCCCATCTCATTTTGGGGGGTTGGGAGGTGGGGTTACCAGGCTCCAGGAGTCATTTCCTGTCCACACAGAGGGGGGCTTTATTCAAGCGGCAGTGAGGACAGGCCTGGCACCCAGAATCCCAAGCACGGGGGAGAAGGGCATTCCAGGCCCCCTCTGTGGGCCCGTTGGGCACAGGGGTGGGCACTGCACAAGGGTCCTGCCATGCCCTCCTCCTGGGGACCACTTCCATCCCTGGCTGGACAAGGCCACCAGGAACTCTCTTTGGTAAGAGCTTGGCATGGGATGAGGGGGGTGTCAGGCAACATGTGGCATGTATGTGCACACGCGTGTGTGACCACAGACATAGCCCTTTTCCACAAAGTCAAGAAAATCAAGCTGCTGGGGGCACAGGGTGCAGGCAGCTGTGGCAGATGGGCCCTTCTCACCCAGGAGACCCTGGGACCTGGGGGTGATGCCTGTAGGTGGCTGTCTCCCTCCCTGTAGCCCAGAAGTATGTGCCCAGGGCGGCGCTGGTGGACCTGGAACGGGGCACGATGGACAGCGTGAGGTCCGGGCCCCTGGGGCAGCTCTTCCCGCCCGACAGCTTCATCTTCGGTGAGTGCCAGCCACCTGCTTCCCTTTGCCTGTGTGTTAACCTGTGGCACCAGGGATGGAAGCTAAAGGCCTCTGATAGGCCAACAGCCTCACCTCCACTCACATCTGGTCACTTTCTGGGCCTGATGGGGAGCAGCACATTGGAAAAGCCAGGGTGCAAATCAGTCAAGCACGTGGCCCTCCCAGGTGGGCTGCCTGCAGGACATGCACTCCTGGGTAGCCTGTCCTCGGCTGTCAGGGGCCAGGGCTCCCAGGGATCACACGTGGGGCCAGAGCCTGCACTTGGAGCTACCTACCCGGGCATCTGCAGAGAGGCCTCTTAGTGGCAGGAAGAGCGAGCTTTGGACAGCAGCTCCTTCCTCCCCCCTCCTGGAGCCAGCTCTCACTAGCCCTGGGTCTCCTGTGGGTAATTCTCATGTTACCCTCCCTCTCACCGCAGGCCTGTCCTCCTTCTGCCACCCTCCCCGCCTCTCCCCACCTGCCCTCTGCAAGGTGTGTCTGACAAGGATAAGACTCAGTTTCCAAAGGCAGTGTCACGGCAAAGCATGGGCGGTCATTGCGGAGCTGGTGTAACCATGGTTTCTCTGCCAGGACCTCCACAAGTCCCGTTCTCAGTTCAGATCCACTGAAGACGGTTTTGACAGGAGACTGCTGAGGGGATACGGCCTCAGCTTCCTGGCCTGGGGTGAGCAGCTTCATGGAATGGGGCAGGCTCGGTGCCCCAGACCCTACCTAAGGCCATGGCCAAGGTGGGGCTGCATCAGGAAGGAGGTCCGGACTGCCCTTTAGTCCTGAAACCAGGCACCAGGAAGGCAAGAGCACCCAGCCTGGTCTCATAAATCTCTGGGCATTTGCTGCACACCTCCAATCGCAGCACTTGGGGAGGCTGAGGCAGGAGGGTCGGCACAGAGCCATGCACATCCTACCCACAGGACAGCTGTGGGTTTCTTAGCTAATGCGAGAAGCTCACTTTGCTGCTAAATTCCCTGAGGTGAGGTGCCTGGGCCAACTGTACTTCAGATTCAGATTCCAGAGAACCGGACCTGAGCCAGCTGCCCAACCTGCAGCCCCCAGGCGTGAGGGGAAGGATCCCAGAACCTAGGAGGAGGTGACACTGTCACGGGGGTGACCTGGCCTGTGAGTAAATCCACGGAGACCCTAGAGGGGGAGTGGGGATAAAAAGGAAACAGACACAAAGAGCAGAGACAAGTTGAGGAATTCCAATCAAGTGTCTCCTTATTCAAGGAATGAGTATCAAATATATAGGGTATTGGGGAGGAGGGAATTGGGTGCTGAGAAATCAGCAGGTAACTTAGCAGCAGTGGCAAGATGGAGGTTCATAGGTCAGTTCGAATTTCCCGTGGGGCGGGCTCAATATGCATAGTCCCTGAAAAATGGGGCCAGGCTAAACGAGTTATGCAAAATGCTGCTTAATTACCAAACTTAACTCCTAGAGGGAATTAAGGTGGTGCGGCCTGCAGATGTAAGGTGGCAGCCAATTACAGGGCTTCCCACACAGGGGCATGGCCTTGGGGTCACTGACGGGTCTGTGATCTTAGGGCTTGGGGGTGATTTCGTTCTTGTTTGTGGCACAGGCCAGACGCCAGGTCGGTCCCCTTCAGGTTCTAAGAGCGAAAGTGGCTTGGAGCCCAGTTTTTGGCACCTTGGCCAGGCTTCGGGGGAGGGATCTAACTGACAAGCTGCTGCATGGGGCCCGCAGGTGTCCAGGGAGCTGCTTTGTGCTCCTGACTTGGGGCCGGAGGGGGAGTGAATGGCAGAGCCCTTGGGGGCCAGAGTCCCATCCGTCACTGGTGCCCAGGTGGACACGCAGGTGTTATGAAGAGAAATCAGATGTCAACTTAAAAATGAACTCAAGGCCTACAGCTTGAAGCACCTTTTCATGTGTGAGGAACAATTCATCACAGACATGTGCAGTGTCCAGAGGGGATGTGAGTTCCTCTGCCCCTTTGGATGAGCGCTGCCTATCTCAGGAAAACTGTAGCGACAGCCTGCAGTTCTGCAGGAGCCCTGCCATTGCCGGGTGATGTGTGCCTGAGCCTTGGGGCCCCTGCACTGCTGCCTACTCCAGTTTGGGCCGCTGTTCCAGGGTGACTGCCAGGTGTGGCCTCCACTGCCACCCTTCCTGGCTGCCATTTCTGGAGCTCTTGGTGCTGACGCCTCTGGTGTTTGCTGCTCTCTCAAGATGATCTCTGGGTGCTCTACCCAGGGCAGATTTACAGGCCCTTCGGAGGCTGCACCACTGGGGAGCAGACTGACAGGCCACCCCACGCTGGTCCCTACACTGCGAGGAGCCTTCCTCCAACCAGGGGACCTGTGGGCACTGCTGCTCGTACTGGACCCATGTCTGGTCAGAGTCAGGCTCGCTGACTCTTGCAGAGATGGGCCCAGGTAGCTGACTGACAGCCTTCGCATCTCTGGGAAAAGTGGGGGGGGCTGAGATGTGGGTCCCTGGGGATGGCCGGCTGTTTGTCGCAGCTGACTGGGCTCAGAGGCAAGGGACATTGACACCAGGCCTGATGTTAGTCGCATGGGTGCTCTCCTCCTCTTGAGGCAGCAGGGCCCCTCTTGAGGGGTGCAGGGCCACAGCTGACAGTGAGCTGTACTATGTGGGGGGCCAGACGTGGGTGGCTGCTAAACCCCAGGGAAGACACCAAGGCCAGTCCTCCAGGTGTCCTGTCCTCGGGAGGCCCGGGGCAGACTGGCCGGGCTGCGGCCACCAGCTGTGTAGGGAAATGCAGAAGTGAGGCCTTTCCTGTCCCGAGCCCTCCAGTGCTAGGGCCTCATCCTGCTGAGGAACAGACTCAAAGACAGCGCCAGGCTTCCCAAGTTGACGCTCTGGAAGTAAGGCCAGTCTGCGGGTGCCGCACCGGCAGTTCACAGGCTGCCTGGCTCCAGTCACTCGAGCTCTGCAGATGCAACACAAAATCCTTCCAGCACCTCACGCTCCTTCCTGGGCCTGAAGTTACCTGAGGGCAAGATGGCTTCCTGAGCATTTCATCTCGGGTGCAAAATAAGCAGCTGGAAAACACTGTAGCAGAGACTCCAGAGGACAAGTGAGAGGTGTTCATATGGAAGTATTTCTACAGAGAATCCCTTGTCCAAGGAACCACAGAACGAAGTGTTTGGATTTCAGATTTTCCTGCATTTTGGAACACTCGAACACACCTAACATGAGAATTTGGTGTTGGGATCCACATCTAAACACAGGTGGTAGTGCACACCTGTAATCCCAGCACTTGGGAGGCTGAGGTAGGAGGATTGCTGTGAATTTGAGGAAGGCTGGGCTGCAAAGGGAGTTCAAGACCAGCCTAAACGCAGAGCAAGATGCTGGTGCCCCCCTAAAATCCCACGAGGTTCATGTGTGTCACGCACACTTCATACACACAGCCTGAAGGTAATTTCACTCAGTATTTTTAATGTGCCTAGGTTTTGACTGCAACCTCTCACGTGAGGTCAGATACAGAATTTTCTACTTAGGGCACCGTGTTGGCAGAAGTTTTGGGTTTTGGAATGTTTTCGGGTTTTAGTTCTGAGTAGGGATGGCTGACTTACACAAACTTCACAGAGCTCTAATAAGAGGTGAAGCTGGCTTTGGTGGTGGCTGCACTGGTGATGGAGCCCAGGGCTTCACACCAGAGCTATACCCCAACCCTTTTCTTCACTTTCTATTTTTGAAACAGGATCTAGGCTGTGCTTGAGCTTCTGATCCCCGTGCTTCAGCCTCCCAGAGTGCTGGGATGACGGGGTAGTGCAAGGGCCTGGTAGGTGCTTCCTCAGGCTTGCCCTACCCACCACTCCACCGGAACAGCGCTAAACTCGTGCTCTCTTGCAGGACAGACAGGCGCCGGCAATAACTGGGCAAAGGGCCACTACACGGAGGGTGCAAGCTGGTGGACTCGGTGCTGGACACAGTGAGGCGAGAGTGTGAGCGCTGTGACTGCCTGCAGGGCTTCTAGCTGGCACACTCGCTGGGCGGCAGCACAGGCTCAGGGCTGGGCACACTGCTGCTGGGCAAGATCTGTGAGGAGTTCCCTGACCGCATGGTGAATACCTTCAGTGTCATGCAGTCACCCAAGGTGTCAAGACACCATGGTGGAGCCCTACAACGGGGCCTTGTCTGTGCACCAGCTAGTGGAGTACACAGACCAGATCTACTGCATCAACAACGAGGCGCTGTACGACATCTGCTTCCGCATGCTCAAACTGGCCACACCCACCTACGGTGACCTCAACCACCTGGTGTCAGCCACCATGAGCGGAGTGACCACGTCCCTGCGCTTCCCGGGCCAGCTCAACGGAGACCTGCACAAGCTGGCCGTGAACATGGTGCCCTTTCCACGCCTGCACTTCTTCATGCCTGGCTTTGTGCCCCTGACCGCGCGGGGCAGCCAGCAGTTCTGCACCCTGACTGTGCCCGAGCTGACCCAGCAGATGTTCAATGCCAAGAACGTGATGGCTGCCTGCGACCTGCGCCATGGCCGCTTCCTCACCATGGCCACAGTCTTCCATGGCCACGTGTCCATGCAGGAGGTGGACGAGCAGATGCTGGCTGCCCAGAGCAAGCACAGCAGCCACTTTGTGGAGTGGATCCCCAACAACGTCAGGGTGGCTGTGTGTGATATCCCACCTCGTGGCCTCCCCACGTCAGCCACCTTCATTGGCAACAGCATGGCCATCCAGGAGCTGTTCAAGCGCATCTTGGAGCAGTTCATGGCCATATTCTGGCGCAAGGCTTTCCTGCACTGGTTCACAGGTGAGGGCAAGGATGAGATGGAGTTCACCGAGGCTGAGAGCAACATGAACGACCTGGTGTCCGAGTCCCAGCAGCACCAGGAAGCCACGGCCGGTAACGAGGCCTTCGAGGAAGGCGAGGAGGAGGTCCTGGAGTAATGCCAAGCTGCACTGCTGTGCCTCGGCTCAGATGGTGCCCGGTGGCCACAGCAGGACACAGGGACACTGGACACTGGAGGGAGCACAGAGGGCAGCAGACAGGTGTGCAGCTGTGGGCGGAGGCCATTTCACCCTGTGAGGTAGAGCTGGCAGCTCAGCGCTGCCTCATTTGAATCCGATGGGGCCGTTGCAGCAGCCCCTCAATAAAATACGTTGCTCTGTGGCTTCTGCTGTGTGCCTGCTTGCATGGCCCCTGGTCACTGGCCTCTTGCACAGTGCAGGGTACCCACATCCCTGAGGGCAGGGCACTTCCCACACCCGAGACTTCAGGAGCAATGGTGCCTTCCCAGGCCCAGAGCAGAGGCACAGGTGAAGCCCTTCCAGCCCTCTGCACGTTCCCTTGGTGCCAGCCAGCCTCGGGGTGGAGCCCCTGGGCAGGCAGCCCCACTGAGGCCCAGGTTCCTCCTGGGCCCTGTGGGTGGTTTGGCCTTTGGATAGGGCAGGCAGTGCTGGGGGGCAGGATCTGGTACACCCTGTGCACCCAGGGTCTCCTGGACTGGACTGGCAGCACCGGCAACTGCCCCAGGTCCCTGCACGGCTTCTCTGTTCTCAGTTCTCCCTTGCCCCCCTGGCTGTCCACGTGGGTATTGCTTGTCCCCTGGGAAGGCCAAGGGTGATCAGCCCTGGCCTCTCCTGTCCACCTGTGCCTGAGAAGCCACCACACACATCTGCAGCACACACCCTTTAACCACCGCTACCCTGCAGGGGTGAGGCAGACAGAGCAAGCACCCTGCCAGACCCTGACCAGGGCTGAACCACAACTCTGGGCCCAGCTCCTCCGGTGTTCCCCTTGGGGTGTTGCCAAGGCCGCCATGTCAGCTGTGGCTCCTTTCTGATCTCAACCTGGCGGGACCCAGGTGCACCAGCGCCCCTTGCTGCTTGCTGCAGACACTGAACCCCGCAGGCTCCCCACGGGCATCCTTCTGTCTTTCAGCAAGGTGCTGGCCCAGTGGAGATGTGGGCAAGAGGCCCAGCGGGAGGACCACCCTGTTCTGTACAATTTGTGATATCCATATGGGCCCCTGGAGGCATCTCTGGGGCACTTGGAGGAGCAGGCATGGGATGGAACTCATGTGCAGGGGACCATTCCTTGGCCCATAGATCTGTCTCAGATCTGAAGTCATGTGTGAAAACAATGAAAAAGTCAGAGTAACACCAGGGAGCAGGGGCAGGGACCCTGACACACTCACAGAGGAGGATGGGGACAGCACCTGAAGACTCGGTGCGGTGTCCTCAGCTGCTCTGCAGACTCCTGCAGGGTGGCACTGCCCTCCACAGCCGGGGCGTGGCCGAAGCCACGTCTTCTCAGGGCCAGCCCATAGCCTGACTCTGGCCCACAGGACCCAATAGCCCAGGGTTCAGGAGACTCGGTCCCTTCTCATGTAACAACATAAATGCTGACTCTTTGTGCGCTCAGGGAAAAATACAGTGTTCACATTTATTTCTGTTGTAAAGAAGCCATATTTACACAATACATTCACATTTTTAAATATGTTACAGCTCTCTATAGAAAACCATTCACTGAAACAGTAAACATTAAGTTAAATCAAAATATTCTCATCAGGGCTCCAATTGAACTCCACAGCTCATCTGCAGAAAGAAACTGAAGAGAACTAGAAATGAAGAGTGGAGGTGGAGAACCCACTGCTGCACATGGCAGACTCCTGCGGCCAGCCTTCCACGGCCTGCAGGGCCACACAGGGTCTCGGGGCTCCGTCAGGCTTCCGGCCTCCGGGAAATTGCCTGGCCCTAAGCATAGCTTCAGAACAAGGCGGCTCGCCAAGCCCAAATGGCCCAAGCTGCCTTCTCATCAGCCAGCGCTGGGGCAGAGTCACTCAGAGAATGGCAGACGGGCAGGCGGTTATAGCGGCCTTGGACCTGTCTGCATCTGGCTGGCGCCCTGCTGGTCTGAGGGCTCCTCCTCCTCCTCCTTCTCCCTCCCTTTGTTCCAGCCCTTTAGGCCCTCTGGCAGCGAGGTGTCCTCGTCCAAGCTGCCTGTGCCCTCCACAAACTCTTCATACGTGGATTTCTCGGCGAATGGCCTGGGGCCCAGGAGGGCAACCATGTCACTCTTATCTAAAACTTCTTTCTCTAACAACAGAAGCGCGACCTGAAACAGAAACAACTTCCATTAAATGCAAGGGATTTATGCAAAAGCAATGCATTTATATAGCCACGCTGGCTCCCAAGAAGGCTCTAAGGGCAGGGAAAAAGGGGAGCGCCGGCCAGCTGGCCTGCAGATCAGACTGGTGGTCTTGGAGAGTGATGTGCCGCCAGTGCTACCAGCCCATGTCCCTGCTGAGTAAGGGGTCAGCACATGGTGCCCGTGATGGGGCCTGAGGCATGTGCCTGTCACCCACAGTGAGTCAGGGGGGCCTGGTCCCATGACCTGGCAGCTGCAGCTTGGCCCAGATCTCTGGCTGCTGCGTGGCGGAGCTCTCTCCAGGTCTTCATTTCTGGACTGCTTCAGGTTTGAGCAACACTGCGTGAAACTGTTTTTTTGTTCAGACTGCTGAAAGTTTTTGTCTGAAGTTCTAACGGTGCCTCTATATGCAAAAACGAACCACTGAAGGCCACACTACATGACCGCAGTGTGTCATGAAGAGGCAGGCAGAGGGAGGGGAGCAGATGCTCTGTGACAGGAAATGAGGCAGGAACCAGGCGGCCACTACACATTTGCAGGCCACAGGAGATGGGGAGGGGATGGCCCAGCTGACAGCAACATGGCCACGAGTCCACCAACCTCTGGAAGATGCTGAGCAAGCAGACGGGTGTAAATGACCTGGACACTTCCTACTTCACTACAGCTGGGTTCACAAGACTATGTTGTGAAAGATGTCAAAGAACACATTTCACGCAGCACTTCATGCTTGCTAGGCAGGGGAACTTTCTCCTGGCTTTCTCATTTTTTAAACTTAACAGGACATTTCAAGTAGCTATAAATACGTAACACAGCTGTGGGTGGCTGAGTTTCTTTAAGGAACTGTAATGAGCCCTTTGCACTTACATGTCCCCCCTCCAACAAGCAAGAAGCAGCCCTGGTGCTTCTACACCCTCTCCATGTGCTGCTGGGGACAGCACAGCCTGGGGGCCCATGCAGCACCTGGAGCACACGGCCCTGGGTGAGGGCCACGTCTGTCTGCAGTGCTGGGCCCAGGGATAAAGGTGCTCTGAGACGCGCCCACCAAGTTCCTGCAGATGTGGACGGACACAGAACGCTGGTACGAGAAGGTCCAGCCTGTCCGCACTGTGGACCCCGCCTCCCAGGCCAGCGCTCCCCAGCTGACCCTCCCTGGGCAGCTCTCTGACGGAGGGAGACCCCACTAGAGTCCCACCACTTTCTTCAGGTGCCTGTGTCCATGCCGGGTGTGCAGCCAGCCTAGCCCACAGTGAGCACAGTCTCAATCCCCAGGAGCTCAGGGCATGCCCCACACTCCTTGTGTCCAGCAAATGCAGGCTGGGCCCAGACTCTCAGCTCTCCGTGCACCCTCCTCCTGCACGGGGTGCCACCAAGGACCTGCAAGGACCCTGGGCATCGTGGTACCAGAGATTTGTAAAGCTGTTCCTCCACTGCAGCCTATGACCTGCCTGCCTCCCTCGGCAGCCAGGTCCTTTCTATGGTCACAGCCACAGCCTGGGCCCTCGGAGCCACCGAGCACAGCACAGGCTTGGGACCTGGTGAGCACACAGCTCTGTGTGAGCCAACCCCTCCCCAGAGGGTTTTCCTTTCCTGCAAGCGTTCAGAGAGCAATGAACCCTAACCTGGTGGCATGGATCCCCCAAGGGAGAGGTCCCTGAATGCATGAGACTCTCCCAGCTAGCAGGGCCCTTCCCTCTGCAGTGTACAGCCGTCAGCCGTCTGTCCAGGCGGCTCACCATCAGCTCACTGCGGGGCCCTGTGTGCCAGACTCACACTGGTTACACTTCCTGCTGCCCCGTCACCTCCCACTGTCTGTACTGTGGGAGACGCTGGAGGCCCGGGTGGCACCCGCCAGACCCCAGTCTGGCCACCCTGAGCCCCATGTAGAGCCCACCTGCTGTGGGCACCCACCTTCTCCACGTCGGCCTTCTTCTCCGTTAGGAGGGCCACGGTCCTCCTGTAGGCCTCGCTGATCAGGATGCGCACCTCGTCATCGATGAGCCTGGCGGTGGCCTCGCTGTAAGGCTTCTCTAGCACCATGTCACCCTGACGCGGGAGGTCGAAGGAGATCTGCCCGACCTTCTCGTTCATGCCAAACTGCACGATCTGGAAAGAGCCAGTGGGATGGGAGGGAGGCTTCCTGCTGGTCAGACAGGTGTCCTGCATCTGGCTCCTCACCAGGCCCAGGGCCATCACCTCAGAACAGGAGGCCATGAGGGAAGCACAGGAGCGGGAGCCTGACGGGTGGAAGGGCGGCCAGGGGACAGGAGTGTGCCTCAAGACCAGGTGGCCCAGGTGTCTGCTTGCTGGGCGTACTACAGCCAGGCAAACAGGGCCCCAGGAAAGTGGGAAGGCTGTGCCGATTGACTCTGAGTGCCCACCACGCCAGCGTCTCAGGGGAGCAGTGCTGGGGCCAGAGCTCAAGCTGGCCAGGGAGTAGGTGCAGGGAGAGGCCACTGTGGAGGGAAACCCCGGCCTGCCTCGTCCTGGTCTCTTGGCTGCATGCAGAGACAGCCAGCCATCACAAGCAGCGGGCCAAGGCACCAAGTGACATCTTGCCAGACAGGCCCCACACCCAAGACACCATGCTCCTTCCCCCACAGGCAGCTAAGGAGGCTAGGAATGTGCTGGAAATTGGGAAGAACCGTGGGATCCAACCACTAAAACAGGTGAGGCACTGCAGTGCAGCACGGTATTACCCACAGGAGGAAACTTATTCTTAAAGCAGAAATTAAACTAAAGAAGGAACAAAAACAAATCGACTGAAGAGAAAAAGTCAGATCAAAAATGACTAGAAAAACTATTTTAAGCTGGACATGGTGGTGTTCTCCTATAATCCCACCTCAGGGGGCTGAGGTGGGAGGACCACTCTGAGTCTGAAGTCAGCCTAAGTGAGTTCAAGGCCAGCCTGAACTACACAAAAAGATCCTGTCTCAAAACAAAACAACAACAAAGAAAAGATACAGTGCTGAGCAAAGAACTGTAGCCCACCTAGA